ATTATTATTTTTTTTGGAAGGATTATTACCCCGGTAAAGCAATTTGCCAATCAAATGACAACCGGGTTCCTACTCACTGCTAGGAAAACAGAGGCGTGTGTAATAAGGAAACTTGCCTAAGGTTTTGCCCTGCCCGAGAATCGAACCCGGGTCCTCTCGCTTGCGAGGCGAGTGCTCTAACCACCATGCTACCGAACTCCACGGGACTTTTATTATTACTCCTGTTCCTAATAATCTCTGTTGGCCAAAGGATAGTGTGTGCTGGACATTGCAGAACAATATAATCATCGCACAACAGTAAATGATTTTGTTGCTGCCATTTAGACAGCTGTTAGATCCATTGCTGAGGAGATGGCTCTGGCATTCATGTGTGAAACCTGGTGACAAAACAATAAAGGGTACGCAGCAGCAAATTATAGAGTCAGAGCACAGACTTCTTCTTTCCCAAGAAGGCAATTATGAGCAAAGTGCCGAGGGAGGAGAGAGGCTTCTGAAATGAGCGCAAACAACCTAAAAAAGTTCCATGTTGATAAATAGTCGCAATATAATAATAGTGACAATATCATTTTGTTTAGACGTTTGGGTTTTCATTAAAATCCTTAATTTCACCAAGATCAATAAAAAACACATCAGATGTACTCTGGAGTATTATGCAGCCCATAATGGCATTATTTCTACAATGTTCGAGTTATCTTGCTTGAATGAAGCCTATGTCAAGTGTTTCCATTCACAGTTTGCTTAAAACATTTAGGGCATTCCAGAAAGTCCTAGCCATGTTGCTGTGAAATTAATTTTGTGACACCCTCTTGATCCAGATCTCAGCAGCCCACACAATGCCGTGTGCAACCACAACTTGTGTTTATATACTACCTTTACGTGGGGTAACATCTTGGAGTGCTGATTAATGGCGTAGATTAATGCCAGTTATTATTAGATTGGATGAGGGGGGAGAGAAAAAGAGAGAGATTGAGATCCTCACCCATCATCTCACCTCTTTGGGCGGAGTGGGGAAACCTTAGATAAGCTTCTTTGGTCCACACGCTTCTGCTTGCCTAGCAGTAAGTAGGACCTGGTTTTTAGCCGATTGGTGGATTGCTTTCCGGGGTTCATAATCCCTTCAAGAGATTCGTAGGATCAAGATAGTAGTTTTCAAGAGGGAACTCGATAGATATCTTTTTTTAAAAAAAAGAGAGTAATTTGCGGAAGAATAGGGAATGGGCATGGACTGAAAAGTTACTTTCTCAGAGAGCCATCACAGACACGATGGGCCGAATGGGATTTCCTTTGTGCTGGACCTGTATTTTAGAGGAAGCTTGATGCATACACGAGAGAGAAGGGAACAGAGAAATATAGGAGGGATTAAGGAGGGGATTATAGACAGATTAAGCAAGTGGGCAGAACTATGGCAGATGGAGTTCAATGTGGGGAAATATGAGGTCATTCACTCCGGATCCAAGAATGGCAAGTCAAAATATATTCTGAATGGTGACACATTAGGAGCTGCGGAGGAGCAAAGGAATTAAGTGACGAAGTACAAATCACTAAAAGATTGTGCACAGGTACAAAAGCAATTAAAAAGGCGAGTGGAATGTTGGCTTTTATCTCAAGGGGGTTGGAATACAAAAGGGAGGGAGCAATGCTTTAATTGTACAGAGCGTTGGTCAGACTCCTTGATACAATGCCGTATCACCAACATGATAAAAATAATAAATAATCCTTGCATTTGATATAGCGCCTTATGACATCTTCAAGAGTCTCAAAGCACTTCACAGAATATACAGTAAAGGGAATTGACTATATATTTTGTGGGTGAAACGCGGCAGCCAATTGTGCACAGGAGTGTCCCACAAACAGTCGTGGATTAAAATGACCAATTTATTATTATTATTTTATGAAACCAGGGATGACAGATTATTACAAAATGATACCAGGGATGAAATGGTTAAATAATGGATTATAGGTTGTATAAACTTGGATTGTATTCCCTTGGGTTGAGAAGGCTGAGTGGTGATCTAAGTAAGTGTTTAAAATACCAAATGGATTTGATATGGTAGGGAGGGTAAATTCACGGTCAAGAGAAAGGTCTTGAGATAGTAAAAAAAATTGGGGTACTCAATCCACGACTGTTTGTGGGACACTGCTGTGCGCAATTGGCAGCTGTGTTTCGCCCACAAAATACAGTCAATTCACTTTACAGTATATTCTGTGAAGCGCTTTGAGGCATATCAATGAGGTGATAAGACGCTCTATCAAATGCGAGGATTATTATTATTATCATTATTGCATTTACCGAGTGAGATCACCAAGGATAAGTGCAGTAAAACTCATCAGCGTGATATTATCCGCCGAGATCAGAGACTACTTTGTGTGATTACTAATTAGCAGAATTATTCAGCTAGTGTAATCACTTCTAAAATGGTTTAATTTTTTTGCTCTTGACTGAACCATCTAAGCTTTTATCAAACATTTGATCATTTACACCAATTGCACACAGAGAAAAGTTGAATCAAGACCTTTTGTGCTCTTGCCTTCTGTAGACAATTGGGGTTACTTCAAAGTACTTCAACTAAGATTTGTACATGTAAAATGCAGAGCATAGCAATCCTTATGAGCGCAATACAATGTGAGCATAAATAGTTGCATTGGTTAATGTATCTATTCAGTTACAATCATATAATCCACAATGCTGAAGATAATCAAAATTTGTGGTTTAATCCCATAGTTTGGCAGTTAGTGTGTTTGACTCGCAAGCAAGAGGACCCGGGTTCGGTTCCTGGACAGGGCAACACCTGAGGCAAATATTGGTCACTCAATCCACGACTGTTTGTGGACACTCCAATGTGCAATCGGCTGCCACTATTCGCCCACAAATACACAGTCAAACTTTACAGTATATTCTGTGAAGCGCTTTGAGACGTCTTGCAGACGTGATAAGGCGCTAAATTGAATCCAAGGATTATTATTACTATTATTATTATTAAAATACAGTAATTCTGTTGCACGGTACTTTTTCCCAAGTAGAAGGGTTGCAATTTTGCAAAATATAGCACAGCAGTGTCCCACAAACAGTCGCGGATTATTTTTTAGAGGGGATTATTACCTCCAGAAAGCGATCCGCCAATCAACCAACAATTACATTCCTAGTTACTGCCAGATAAACAGAGGTGTGTGGAGTAAGGGAACTTGCCCAAGGTTTTTCCCTGCATGGGAATCGAACCTAAGTCTTGTCTCTTGTGAGTGCTCTAACCAATAACTGCAGGATTGGACAGATAAATGTGGAGATTGAGACAGAGGTGACTCGGAGGCAAGTTTCAGATATGCCAAAGCAGCAGAACAAGAGGACACATGTTCACGAGGGTAAAGGAAGGTTTTAGGACAAATACCTTGATGTTCGGATGGGACAATGGTATAGAGGTTATTTGGAAGGATGACATCAAATGGGCCAAAAGGGCCTTCTCCCACTGTACAACTCTTGTGATGATTGTTTCAGCTCTTTCTCACTTCAGTGATAAGATGTCAAAAAAGTATAAGTTTAACTGGTGCATTATACATTGCATTAATTAAATTAATGTGCTTCAAGGGCTTTGAGATGTCCTCCCGACATGAAATATGCCATATTGTATTGTATAAACTACTCAAAGATGAAGTGCAGTGTATAAATGCTGTAAACTTTATTGTTGTATGTAAATATCTTTGCAAAAAGTATCTGGAATTAAATTTTCACTTTATCACAGTGTGCCTACAATCCACCAGATAATAAATTAATCTTTCGCTCCATGGCTGTTTATTAGACGTCTCAGCTGCCACATTTGCCTACAAAAATACACAGTCACTACACTTTGCAGTGAATCCCGTGAAACACTTTAAGACATCATCCTGGTGTGAAAGGTGCTATATTGAATGCAAGGATCATTTGTACAATGCGTGTGACATTTTGCCCTTCGCACACCAGCTATTCTGAGTGGTCCCTGACTGAAATTGCCCATTTAGCACCAGAATAAATGGGTGTTGTGACACACTTTCTGGAAACTGAATTGAAACTGACAAAATTATTTCACATTGAACCTTTATAGCCAACAGGATAGAGGAGACTTTGGATCCATCATTCTGTGCGGGTTTTAAACCCATCTCCCAAGAGATAGATGGATTTGTTATATAAAGCATTGACCCGAGCTTTTGTTAGAAGTACATTGTAAACTTTAGAAAATACTTCTAAACATCTAACAAAAGCAGGATTTGTGTTTTTACACTGACTCTAATGTCAAAAAGTGCTTGCAGATTACGTCAACTGTAGTACTGTGATTTGTAGGATAATCAGGCAGTGACAGCAAAGACCTCAAAAAGAAATGAGAGTTCCTCCCACTGTCCTGGCCAACAATCCCCCGAATAAAATTGATCATTTACTTCACGGTTGCTCGCGGGACAAATTGCTGCGCACAAATTAGCTGCCCTGTGTTCGTCTCAAAGAAACGTGGTTACTGAACTTTATATTGTATCTTGTGAAGCACTTTGGGAAGTCCTCCTGCTGTGAAAAGCATTATACCAAATGTAAGGGTTAGGAGTTGGTTAACTTGCATTTGATATAGTGATGTAGTGCTTCTCACGTCTTCTCGACGTCTCAAAGCGCTTCACAGAATAGACTGTAAAGTGAATTGACTGTATATTTCGTGGGCGAAACGCGGCAGCCAATTGCGCACAGCAGCGTCCCACAAACAGTCATGGGTTGAAGTGACCAATTTACTATTTTTTTTTCTTAAGTGATTACTATTAGACCTGTGGAGTAAGGAAACTTGCCCAGGTCTTTCGCCCTGTCGGGAATCGAACCCAGGTCTCTCGCTTGAGAGGCGAGTGCTCTAAACCACTGAGCTACAGGACTCCATAAACAGTAGTATCGTGCTTATTATTATAATTATTGTGATGGTTAGTAAGAACCATCTTGTCAAACAATCACACATCAGTAAACCCAGTAACTCACCAACACTGTACTCTCTGTGTTTCAGGTTAACTATTTCTGCCGAGTGTCCGATGCAGTTGGAAGATTTCCCTATGGATTTCCACGCTTGCCCCCTTAAATTTGGAAGCTGTAAGTGTATTTAGAATTGTATTTAAGAGCAAGCAGGGGAATGGGGAGGGGGGCAGAATGACTTGATAATGTGAAGCAATTGAGTCTACCTTGAAGATTTCTTAACCAGGTTCCTGACAAAGGGATCCATTGCAATTCCTATCAGAACTTAGCTCCAGAAGTAGATCGTGTCGGAGAGGAGTTCCCGTGAGCAGTGTGAAGTATTACACTCCACATCTCAATTATGGGGAGTCATGTAGCTAAGTGGTTAGAGCACTCGCCTCGCAAGTGAGAAGCCCTTGGTTCGATTCCCGGGAGAGCGGGAGTTGGGCAAGTTTCCTTACTCCACAAGCCTCTGTTTACCCAGCAGTAGGTAGGAACCCGGTTGATGGTCCATTGGCGGATCGCTTTTCTGGGGGTAATAATCTCTTAAAAAAATAATAATTTGGTCATTCAATCCACGACTTTGTGTGGGACACTGCTGTGAGCAATTGGTTGCCACTTTTCACCCACAAAACATACAGTCACTACACTTTGCAGTGTATTTTGTGAAGCACTTTGAGATGTCTGGAAGATTGTATAAGGTACGATATCAAATGCAAGGATTATTAATATTATAATTGGATTGCCAGGTCCCAATGCTGGATGACCACAACCCATCACGTGGGCAGTTCATGCCACAACCTTGTTTCTCGCAGGAATGGCTCTCCCTGGGAAGGAATGGGAACCTTTCCATCGAATCATAGAATTATACAGCACAGAAGGAGGCCATTCGACACATACAGTTTGTCTGTGTGCAGATGCATGTCATTCAGGTCAGGGAATATGATGTCTACAGAGGGAGAGGGAGGTGACCGTTAGCACGGTCAAAGAGGAAGGTCTTCAGGTCCGAGTTGAAGATAGGGAAGGAAGGGGCAAGGTGGGGCAGTACAAGAAGAGTTCCAAAGTTTCGGGGCATGGTGGCTGAAAGCACGACCAAAATTGAGACGAGAGTGCTCCTAAATGAGATAATTATCACATACCCCATTCCCCTTCTATATCTTTATATTGTTTTAATAAAATAATAATAATAATAATCCTTGCATTTGATATAGCGCTTTTCACGTCGGGAGGATGTCCCAAAGCAAAAAAGTCAATTTTCTGTCGGAAGTTAAGTTAAATTGGGGAGAGAGTTTGCTTGTGTCGCCTGCAATCCAATTTGCCTTGAACTGAGAAACAACCCTATTAAATATCATTTGGAGAATTACAGAAGTAACAAGGAAATGTGGCACAGAATTACTGCACTGCAAATCACAGCCACCGAATACGAGAGCTCCAGTGTGAATACACGCTTGTCATGTAATCTGCTGCAGGATACAAGGTGACATTGTGTCACAGTATAATTGAACACATTTAATGCAAAATTATGTAACTGCAAAACAAGGTATTAATAGCTGTGAAATGTTCATATATAGATATAAAATAATGCCTCATCATCAAGTACTTTTTCAACAGTTATTAAAACTTATGATCAAGGTCACTGTTCATCTCCATGCCACAGAAACTGGGCAGAACCACTAAATGGTATCCGTGTCTGTCCAAAAACTTAACTTGGCGCCAAATGGTCCGAGATAATGCTTAGCTGTTCAGCTCCGCCAGGTGGCACCCATCTCCCCTCCTGTTAGATCCATTTATCTCTACTTTTCCCTGATACCAGTAACCCTCGCAATTGTTCCAATCCTGCCCTCTTCTCTCTTGGCTCCAATCGCTCCATTTTTTCTTTGGGTCCAATCCAATACAATACAAAACTACGTTTGTATAGGGCCTTTCATGTCAGAGGACTTCCCAAGGCGCTGGATAGTCAGGGATTTGCAACCAAGCTGGGGGAAGGGGGTTGGGATCAGGGAAGATGGAAGGTGGCTGAAGACATGGTCGAAGAGGAAGGTCTTGAGATATATATGCCTTAAAGGAGGAAAGGGAGGGAGCGAGGCGAAGGGAATATGGGATGGAGTTCCAAAGGGTGGAACTGCATCTCTTTCTTAATATGCACCCAATCTCTCCACTCTTAGGATCATAGAATCATACAGCACAGAAAGAGGCCATTCAGCTCATCATGCCTGTGCCAGCTCTTTGAAAGAGCTACCCAATTAGTGCCACTCCATCACTCTTTCTCCATAGCCCTGCAATTTGTTTTCTTTTCAAGTAAATATCCAATTCCCTTTTGAAAGTTATTATTGAATCTGCTTCCACCACTCTTTCAAGCAATGCATTCCAGATCTTCCAATGGTCCCAATTACTCAGCAATTCCTTTGGCTACAACCTCTCTCCTGCCATGACCCCAGGCTCTCCACATCACCCAATTCCTCTGATCTCTCCATTCTTCCACAATTTCTCCCAATGGCCCTTATCTCTCCACTGTTCCCATGGCCCTACTTTCTGGATTCTTCAGAAAAGTTACAGTGCTTTTTTCTTTAACGCATGATTTAACCTTTGCGAATAATCATATAATAATAATAATAATAATCCTTGCATTCGAAATAGTGCTTTATCACATCGTTGAGACAGATACCAGTACAACCTGGAGGGTGATAGATAATGTGACCTGACCTGAAGTTTGAATCTAGGAACCTTCCAACTCAGAGCCAACTGAGCTAGGCCAACACCTGAATCCCCAAGTATGAGCGCAAATCTCTATTCTCATGCCATAAAATTAGAATGAATCTCCGCAGGACACCTGCTTTGATTTTTTGATAAAAATGCCAAGCTTGCTCAGTGAATGCCTTAACTGTTTTGTTTAATCAGTGAATGTTCGTAAGACCTTCCAGGCTTGGTGAATTGATTGAGCCAGACGTGCTAAGAAGCTGAAAGACTTCATAGAGTTGATGCAGAACAACCTTTAGGTTAATGATTCTGTCACTGCACAAAATTAATTTAAATCTCTTAGACTTGTCAGCCTCAGTTACTCGCTCAGGCTAGTACAGTAATCCATCACTGATCTCGTCTTCATCGCTTCAGGGTCTTTTTAGAAAAATCCCGAAAGTCAGAAGAATTGTGCAGAAGAAAAGAATGTTCAATATGATTCTTTTGTGAAACAGGAATTCAGAAAGGATAGATTCTGCATCAACAACAACAGCAACAACTTGCATGTGTATCCTGCCCCTCACACAAGGTAGCATCTCAGAGCTCTTGAGTGACTTCAATACCATTATAGTTTTTTTTCTCTTCGTGGCGCTGCTGGGCAGAAACCTGAGCTGAGGGAGAATGGGAGCTTAGAAGGTGTGGAACAGCAACAACAACTCGTGTTTATGTAGCTCCCCTCACACAGGGTCGTATCTGGTGGCGTTCGGAGCGGAGGGGAAAGATGACCGAAAGCGCGGACGAAGGGGTATATCTTGAAGGCGGCTTTGAACAGTGGGAGGAAGAGTCAGAAAGACTCCAGGATGGAGTTCCAGAGAGTAGGGGCAGAAAGGATGAAAGCACTTGAAGAAGGCCAGGGCAAAGCATTGCAAAACAGTTAAACCAAACTGTGGGGTTTGTGGGAACAGATGAGGCTGACGGGATATTACAGAAAGGGATCAGATCTGCACTTTGGTGTCAAATGAAGTTCAATGCAGATAAACGCACATCAGAAATAAAACTACAAGATACACTTTAATCTATGAATGGGATGGAACTTGTATCGGTTTGAAAGGGAATATAACAGCATTTAAATAAACTTTATTAAATATAACGCGTTTTGCATACAAAATACAGAGTCAATCCACTTTACGGTATATTCTCTGAAGCGCTTTGAGACGTCTCAACGACATGATAAGGCATTATATCAAATGGAAGGATTATTATTATTATTTATTATTATTAAATAAGAGTTGGATATTGAGTATGAAGCATAATAATAATACTAGGATTAAAGGGTACCACAATAACAATCCTTAATAATAACCCTTGCATTTGTCATAGCCCCTTATTATGTTGTTAGGACATCTCAAAGTGCTTCACAAGAGTTACTGTGAAGTGTAGTCATCGTGTATTTGGTCGGCAAACGTGACAGCCAGTTTGCACAAAGGCAGCCGTGAAGTGAGTGACCAATTTTATTTGGAAAATTGTCAGCCAGGACACCGGGAGGAACTCCCTTCCCTTTTTCAACAGCATCACGGGATCTTTAACATCCACCTGAACAGGCAGACGGAGACCTCGGTTTCACGTCCAATCCAATAGTGGGCACCTCGAACAAGGCAGCATTTCCCCAGCACTGCACTGGTGTGTCAGCTCGACTATGAGTTCAAAATCTCTGACATGGGCCTCGAATCCACAAGCCTTCTGACTCAGAAGTCAAAAGTGCAACCAGTTGAATCAGCCTGACATCCACCTGTATAATTATAATAATCCTTGCACTTGATATAGCGCCTTATCACGTCGTTAAGACGTCTCAAAGTGCTTCACAGGATACACTGTAAAGTGGAGTGACTGCAATTTATGAGTGAAACCCGGGTGCCATTTGCACACAGCAATGCCCCACAAACAGCCGTGGAGTAAGCGACCAGTTTTATTTGGAGGATTGTTGGCCAGGACACCGGATGAAACTCCTTCTCTTTTCGAATAGTGCCGTGGGATCTTTAACGTGCACTTGAATAGGCAGACATTTTATGGTTTCATCTTCTACAAAATGAGCTGAGGAGACCAGTCACTTGGGCTAACAATAAAGCAAGAGTTGGATTTTGTTTTCAAATGATGAACATTATTCGGTAGTCCAAAGAGAAAATGTAAAATTAAAATAAAAAATGGAATAATGTGCCCCATTAACCCCGGGAGGAGGTGATTGCAGATGGTAGGAGGGGAGAGGGGAGAGGGGAGAAGGGAGATGTAGAGGAGAAGATTGGTCTGCAAAATTAATAGGACATAAAAGCGAATGAACTTTCTTGTATTCAAATTGGTTGGTCGGGTTGACAGTGCAGACAGTGGAAGTAATTTCTAGTGGTGTTTAATATTGAAGGAGTTACATTGATCAAAAAGGTGTCGCTCACCTGGGGAGGTTCACGAGA